TCTGAAAAACCTGGAAAAGTCAGAGAAATTTTGCAATCCCAAGAAAACCAAAAGAAATGTTCAGATTTAGTTTTCTTTTATGGACTATCGAGATATTTATGATAATAGGGCAAAATTTGCTTAAATTTCTTTGAAACTCTATAGAAAAGTTTCAAAGAAAAAAAAATTTTTTTTTTAGTCTATGTTACGAAGTGTTTTGTCAAATGTGACATTATCAGGGACTATGTAAGAAAATGATAAAAACAAAAGATATTTGTAAATATCATATACTCTACTATAAATCATCATGATCTATTGATATTACGTATAAAATTCAATCGCTTAAAAAATAAAAAAAGAGTAAAAATTTCAAAGCATGTTGATCAAATTGGCAAAATATGGATAAATATTAATTAAATAAAAAGGGAAAAGGAGCAGAAAAGAAATAGGTATATTACCTGTACTTCAAGGAACTACTACCCTAAACATTTTAAGGTTATTATTTTTAGCAGTTATTTTTATGTTAATGTAATTATCATAGAGGAATGATATATGTTTTTTATATTTAATTTTTCGTATATACTAAGGCATAATAAATTTTAAAACTTTTAAATCTGTTACAAAGTTATCTCAGTTCTAGAAAGTAAACTATTGAAAAGAAAATTTAAAAAAATAATTAAGAAAACTTTTAAAAAATTATAAAGTTCAAACCATGTATTTAGTAGATTTTTTTTCATTGAATGACACATAATAAAATTTTAGAACTATAAATGATTATGCAATTAACTTATGGAGTTTCTGGAGTTTAAATCATTCTTTCAAAAAAAATATTTTTTGGAAAAATTTTCAATTGTCCAGACAATTATAAATCATATATTTTTGTATTTTTGGTTTAAATTGACTCTTACTATATAATTTATAGTAAATACTTGCTTAAATCATTAGTGACCTTAGTATCTTTTAAAAGATAATTATTTAATTTTGTAATATTTCATTTTGCTTCGCTAAATAACTATTTTGTGTGTGTGGGGGGGGGGAAAGTTTTCAAAAAACTTAACTAAAAGATATTGAGAAAACCTTGAGAGTCAGTTACAGAAAATTATGTAAAATTCCTAATTGATGAATAAAATTTTTTTTTTCAATGAAAGTGCAATTTAGTTTGAGTTTGAATTTTTGAAATAACTTGACAAAAATCAGAAAGAAGAACGTCTTGAGTTTTAGAATCATGCGCTTCAACTAAGGCAGAACCATATGTTTTACGTCAAAATGTAATCTTAATCAAGCCCACATTCAGTCAATTTGTAATTTGAGTGTTGTATTATTAAGAAATATTTCTGAACTGAGAATTTAATGCTTTAAAACCATAATATACGGGCTTTTGTTTGGTAAGTTTTGTGGTAAAATTTTTTTGTTTTGTATGAAGATGTTCAGTATGCTTATCTTAAAGCACTTGCTTTGAGCTTATTCTTGAGTACCTTATACACGCATACTCTACTATTTGTAACAAATATAACATAAAATCATTGCTGAAAGTAATTATAACATCAGATGAAACAAATTTATTATATAGTTAAATAATTAAACAGATTATAACTTATTACAAATCGCATAATTATTACTTATTAATTAAAACACAATGCTCTTTTACGAAAAATGGACGTTTAATTCAACTAAATTCAAAATAATAAAAAAATATTGATATTTCCGACTTCTTCGTAAAAGAAAAAATAAGCGCTTTTGAAAGTAATAGCAAAATTAAAGAGAATTCAAGCTCTTTTGAAAATAATAATAAAATTGAAGAAATTTTAAGCTCTTTCAGATGTAATAATAAGATTTCGAAAAATTCAAGGTTCCTTAAAAGTATTAATAAATAGAAAATTCAAGCTCTTTGTAAAATAATAATAAAAGAAAACTCAAGTTTTTTTAAAAGCAATAATAAAATTAATTCGTGTGCTTTTAAGCGTAATAGGTTTTACTTTAAACAAAGATTAAATTTTTTTTTTAAATTTAGACATCTTTATTGACTTAATTCAAATTTCTAATTTTTCACCTTTTTATCTAAGCGTATTTTTTTGCTTAATTTTACACGTGTTTTTGAGAATATTTAATCGGCTAGACTGCTATTTTAGTTTATCATCCGAATCCGATTGTGTTATGATAACCCTTCGTCCTATTTTTCGTCTCCTTACAAAAAAAAAAAAAAAACTAAACTGACTCAATTGAGAAGTTTTTAGGCTGTTAGATTAACAGATAACACAAATAGGTATTCAAGGAAAAACAAACATTTACGTGTTGCCTAATAGCATAATGCGATAAGTGATAGTGCCTTAATTTTTTATCTTTATTTTTTATTCTTTATCAAGAAACGTAACTGATATGTTCCTTTTTGATTATTGATTTTATCATCCTCCTGATGTTATTAATTTGTGATGTTTACGATAAGAATTATGAATAGAATGTAAAATTCTTTAAATTATGAGAATGTTAAAAAAAAAAGAGATTGTAAATGTATGCAATGTCGTGAAATAATTATTTATATATATATATTTTAAAACAGGTATTTGATCAAGTTAATTCGTTTTGTAGAAAAGTAAAGTTAAAAAAAAACAGAAAAAAAACAACAAAAAAAACGAAATATTAAAAATCTAGTCATGTAACATTTCAAAATGCGTTTAAAAATCCAATTATCTAAAAAGGTTTATCTTTCTTTACTTTTTTAAATATATATAAGTCATTTCGCTGTAAATAAGACTAATGTTATTTTCAATATTTTATCACTTAAATTGCATACTAACTGTCTCAAGTACTTACGGACACGATAAATTAATTATAGCCATTTTTATTACTTAAATTACACGTAATTAAGGAAGGATGGGCTTGTTTGGTAATGTAGACGGAGGGAATTATTCTGCTATTTATCAGACAAATTATATCTGAAAATTTAAACCGACTCAAAAAACTGTTTTACACTTTTATATGCAGTGGCATGATTATGCTCTTGGTTGTCTAATAGAAATTTAAAAAATTAAGTTTTTACGTTGGAAAAATAAATTTATAATTTGCTTCTTAAGAGCAACTTTCGACTATTGTTATTCATTGTTTTATATTGTAGGAGAACTAATAGAGTTAAGCTGTTCATGATTATCTTGGTTATATATTTTAACAGTCAGTTTTGATTTGATTTTTAGTTTTAAATAACCAATAATGGACGTAAACTATCAGATGATTCGATGGGGCCAGTGTAATACATAGTTCTGGATTTAATATAGGCATAGCCATATTGAGCTTTCTGCGATTGTGAGGGTTAATAACTACATAATACATGAATTATTTGTTAATAAATTAGATTGATTTTGTAAAGCAATTTTTTTATTTTAAATTTTTTTTCAAGATTGACATTCAACTTCTATTGAATTCTATATATTATTATTTAGAGAAAGTTTGGAGGGAAAAACTTATTTCTCTAATGCATTTTAAGATTTTTTATTCAAAATGTTGATTACCTATGGAATTTGATCTCTTTAAATAGCAATAATAAAGCTAACCACCGAAATTCTTAGTATGTTTCATTCACATAATTACTATGTTACTATGTCTCTTAGTTAACATTTAATACCTATTTGTCTAATTACTTATACGTTTAAAGACAAATTCCATTTAATTAACATTTATTTTCTGAATAATTATTAAAAAATAGATTTCTAACGGGAAAAATTGTGTGTCTGAATCAGATTTTTACTTGGTTGGAACAGCGTTCAGTTTTCAGTTGCATAAATTAATATGTATGGCTTAGCATTAATTAAAATAAAAATTGTCTTGAATATTTATATGCGAAAGTACTTTTTTTTATTAAAATTATTTATAGCTTGATTTTTGTAACAATTGTTTTTTGTTTGCAACAATTGATGAAATAATCGATTTTATGATAACGTGGTCAAAAATAGCAACTATTTGAAGGAAAAAAATATCGTAACAAAAAGTATACGTTGAAATTAGTTTTTGTACCGTTTAAATAATAAAGACAAAAGTTTTAATTTTTCGAAGAACAGAACACTATATATATTTGAAGTGATATATAGTAAACAATGTTGGCAAATTAATTAACGTTTTTAATGTGAATTATTTCTATTTTTTTATTGGTTCATTCAAGTTGCATTTCATAATAATATTTATTCACAACATTATATTTATTTATTCTAAATCTACTCAAGAGTAACGAATGTTAACTTAATTTTCATTACCAATTATGCATTTTAATGTAAGATAATTTCTATTGAATTGTACTTTGCATTCATTATTTTTCTTTAAAACTTTTTCTTCTTAATTTTAGAGAAAATTAAAATGGAAAATACAATTCCCAATACACTTGCTACCATTTTACAATTAGATCATTGCACATTCAGAGAAATGTACGCCTAACATTTGTAAGGGATAATGCTTAATACTGTAAATAATCAGGCTAATTTCAAGTTTTTTTTTTAAGAGAATTTCTTTTAAATTTATTATTTTGATATTTTAGTTAAAAGTAGTAATTGTTAACACTAATAGTTAATATCTAACTAATAGTAATAGTTAATTATCTAACATTATTAAAGATAAATTTTATAATAACATTAAATGCGTAAACCGAATTTCCTTCGATTCTTAAATTTATTATTTTGATATTTTAGTTAAAGGTAGTAATTATTAACACACCAATAACAACAGCTATTTTTCTAACATTATTAAAGATAAATTTTATAATAACATTAAATGCGTAAACCGAATTTCCTACCATGATGTTGTGTATTTTTTAACAGAACCAATGTGTGCAAATAAAATTTCAAACATAAAACTTAATATATATGTATACTTTTTTTTTTAATGCCGTAGAGCATTCTGCGAAGAGCAACATCAGCTATTTCTTGGAATTTCACCATAATCCAGGCCTCAGATGTACTGAGGCGGAGTTTGGCGGCATTTCTTCTTTCGATGAAGCTGTGTGATTGATGTTGGCGAGAAAGCTATCTCCAGCAACCCTATATTCTACTACATCCATCCATAGATGCTGTAAACTGCACGTACGATTTTGACAGGCAGAGAGCGGTCCGTAGTAGTAAACTTGATAGGCGGAGGAAGCGCTAGCACTCCTCTAAAAAGACTATAATGTTCTCTAAGCACCGGATTAGGGAATATTACACCACCATTTTAGGACTTGATAGCTAATTAATAAATTTAGGTTTTTCTTTTTTCTCTTGATGAATGCATGAGCTTGTAAGGTAAATTAAAATATGTCGAGCCAACAATCGCAAAGAGTTCGAAAAAATGTTTCACCCGGTGGAGCTACAAAGCAAGGTCCTATCAGGGCTACAGTACCTTTATCCCTGATGCAAACCTGTAGTCCAACGAGATGTCTAAAAAGTAGTCCTTCTAATTCACCACCAGTTAATTGGGCTAACGAAGGAAGCAAAGTCAAAACAAGACTGTCTCCTGATAATCGGATATCGCCAGAAACCCAGTCCACTACCTCTCCTGTATATAGAGGTAAGATAATTTCTTGTTTATTGTTATGATGTGACACTATATAAGATGGTAGTAGAAACTTTTCTAATTAAAATTGCATTAAGCTCTGCAATTCGTAGTTTTTTTCTGCTAGAAGAAATATCGTCTGCTCATATTTTTGGATTGGGACTTCTTGATTAATTTATTTCCGAAAATAATGATAAAATTAATGATAAATTTCTGCAAAACATTAAATGTTTTCTTAACTACTGCAAAACTATAATGTCCTTGAATGCATATTTATTTCATAGCCAATGTTTGTAAACTTAGATTCACAAGACAATCAAAATAAACGTTCCATGATTAAAAATTTGCTCGTCTCTCTCTATATTGCTTTGTCGAAATGGAAACTAATAACAATTACGTACAATTTTGCATTTTATGTAAAAAGTGTAGGTTTTTCTGAAAATATAGAAATTATGTCAAGTTAAATAATAAAAAAAGAAAGAAAAAAAAAACAATAATAACGACGATCGTTCTATAGACGCCATATTTGATCGCTGAGTTTTCAAGACTTTTTAAGTGAGAAATACTTTAATTTACGTTAATATCATTTATACTTAATTAATTTAATCAATATATATATCATTTAACAATGAATGGGTTACTTTATAATTAAAATTAATGTTGCTAAATTATATTTCTACAATCAAGTTTCCTCTTTTCCTGATTTATCAGATATTTTGCATATAGTATTTACAACTAAATCAATTGAATTTTCTTTGCTAAAATTTATTACAAAAATTAGCCATTATCTAATTTAGAGTCAAGCTAGTTTACCTAAAAAATTCGCTGATTTCTATAAACAGTTCATGATCACATTGAATTCCTGAAGTTAAATTAAATGGTATTAATTGTAATAATTTTTTACCAATAATAATTAGGGTTGTAATTAAATAAGGATGTTTATAATTCATTATTTTATTTCTAGGTAATTAAGTGATTATTAGGCATAAGTGGTTAGTTTATTTACTCTGTTAATCTTTTGTTTGTTAATTTAAAAGAAATAGATTATTTTTATTTCAAAATTATTGTTTATGCTGTAGCATTTCATTTGTAAACTTTTTAAGCTTAAAAATATAATAATAAAATAAGCTTAAAGTAAACGGTTAGGCTTAATTCATTCTTTATGCTATGTTATTAAAAATGTTTTCTTTCTTTTCCTTTAATAAAAACAGTTTATTATAATTTGTTGAACTAATTTTCTTACTAATATTTTTAAGTTTATATTGCAATAAAAAGTCACATTTTTTTATGGCATTTCTCATAAATGTTTTTTATTAATTTTTTCAAATTATTAAATTTGTATTTCTAAGCTGCAGATATGAATAAGTTACTCACTCAAACATTCTAATAAGTAAGCTATTAAAACCTATACCTTGCTAATTTTTGTAATTCTCTAGTTGCATTTAGACTAATAAATAAAGTTGTATTAAACTTGAACTCTACACACTTAAACAAGAGTAAAAACAATAATCAACATGTATAATGACAAATTATGTAATTATGTAAAATGTATTAAACTTAAGTGTGTTTTATCTATTTCTGCATTTAAAAATTTTTATTTTCCATTTTGTCTTGTTATTAATTTTGTTCCATAAGAAATTCTATATCTACATTTAAGCTTGTAATTAAAATAGTTTGTTGCAGTGTGTTCATGAAATTTTTATTATATTGTAATTTACAAATAATTCACTTTAAAATTTAAGTAATGGTTCAAATTTCATTTATAGTAACTATAAAATATATTTCAAGTTTCATTTAATAAAATATTTTAAGAGCTTTTTTTTCTCCTGTTCATCAGAATTTTTTTTTTCCAAATAAGGAAACAAAGAATATATTTTTTGTCAAGTTTCATATTTTTTAAAAAAATTGTGCATGTATGTTTTAAATGGCTTCATAATAAATTTACAAATATTTATTATATGATTTTATTATTCATATTTTTTAGACATAATTTTATTGAAATTCTTTTATGTATTTTTTTTACCATTTTTACTTCGACACATTGCATATGGTTATAAGAAATTATTTCTTCAGTCTCTGCTTAAATTTTAATTCTTTTTATTTGTTCAAGTTCTCCCATATTTATTTGTTACAGTACCTATAGCTAATGAAGAAAATTTGACTCGAATTGTAATTGTTTGTAAAGATTTATTACATGGTTATTTTTTATAATTGAAATAAGTTAAATTTCCTTTAATTTTTTAAAAATAATGTAGCTACATGTAGTTATTTTTTGTAAAAATTATTTTCTTTAAATATTTTTTATTTTTATTTGATAATAATTTTATTTGAAGAAGTGTAAACAATGTATAAAAATATAGTTTAAATAAAAATTAATAGTTTGTTTTGATGAATTTTCTATAAACTTTCCTTGTTTCTTTTTCCTAACAATATGCATTTAATGATACGGTTTTGTATTTGTTATAAATAATTAGCCAAATATTTAATAAAAGAATTTAGGCAGACAGAAACAAAAACAAAATGGATTTGTATGGTTTGGATTTGTATTTGATGGATTGTTCTAGGTAGTAGTGTTAGTAAAATTTTTTTTGTGAGAAGTGTAAAGATATTCGTAATTGAGAGTTGCTGATCTATTTTCTGTTTTAATATTTTAAAAAATTAATATAGCTCTTTATTATGATTATAGCTATTAAACCTGTATTTTGAAGAAATAGTATGTAACAATGAATTTATGTATCATGTTATTATTTCTCATCTATGTTGTCTTTTCTGTTTGGGGTGTCAAATTTTATGTAAGCATCTTTATCTTCTCCCCTTGTTGGAAAAATAAGAAAATATTAAGGTACAAATCTGTCTCCCCCCCCCCCCTTTTTTTTNTTTTTTTTTATTTTTATTGCTTTGATTTTTACTATAGTAATCTAATTTAAAAAATTTTGCTATTTACATGCAAATAAAAGATAACTTCAACTTCATATAAAACAAACTTTTTGTATTTATTCTTTTTTATAAAATTTTGAATTTTGTTTTTGTATGTAAAACTCTTGATCCCAGAAACCCATTAAAGAAATTTTCTTATCCCAAATGTACTATTTTGAAATTTTCGCTAGCGTAATTTATTCCATATTTTTCAAAGTTTTTTTCTTTTTGAATTTAAACAAAAGTTTTGAAATAAAGGTATGTTATGTAAGAATTTTTAGCTCAATGAAAGTCCCAATTTGTAAGTTAGATGTCAAATAAAGAATAAATTATTTAGACAATTATTTTTTGAATATAGAATTATTCAGACAAAAAAACAAACAAATAAATAAATAATTAAGTGATATCACATGAATAACTTTGAGCAGAACAAGTCTTTGTTATCATTATTTATTTAGGCCAACTTTATATAACAGCGAATTGCTTTATACACAGCTGATGGAAAGTTAGAGGTTTTACATAGGTTTATTTTTTTATTTATTAGTCTATTGTGACAAAATAATAATTTACATATATTATCCCATCTTATACCTAACCATATACCTTGTTATTTATTCATTTTTTTGTTGGTAAAAACCTTTAATGTTTAAGACATTTTAAAAAATATCACAACCATAAATTCGTATTTATAAGTTAACTGCATAAAAATGTTTTTGACTTAAATCTGTGCTTTATTTTGCTTTAAAGAAAATCAGAAAATTAAAAATAATGATTTATAGAATTCGAGTGGTTTAAGTCATTAGTCATGTGCTATAATTTTTACTTTTTCAATGTTAATCTGATATTATAAAAATAATTTTTTTTAAAAATATTCATTTGTTTTGCTTTCTTTTAATCCATCGAAAGTTAATTACCTTTTTTTAGTTTAATTATGTACTGAGCAACAAACCCCCCTCTTCTTTTTATTTACAACATATTTACAAAAATGCCCATTTTGGCTAAATCTTTTAGAAAAACACTACAAAATGTGCAAGAATTGAGATAAAACCACTGTTGCTGGTGAAATGTGAGTTAACTATTTTAAATTGATTTGATTTTTGGCTGAATGTCAACAATAATTTTTTTCAATATTCCTTTTGATTTTTTTTAATGATTTTGTATTTGAATAAGCAGATCAACTTAAGACTGTTAGTATTATATACAGATATTTTTATGTTCGGTTGCTATCAGGGAAGCTACCCAAGCGTAATGGGCACTAGGCCATTAAAATTTTTGGGGCCCTTAGATAAAAAAATTTTCTTGTAAATTTTTTGTTTATTCAAATATAAAAGTATTTATCTATCTTTTCATTTAAGAAAGCATATTTGAAATAAAAGTAAATAATAATAAATTAAATTTTACTTAATTTTATAATATTGGAACTAAAAAATAATAACATTTTGAAAAGATTTGAAAAACCTTCATTTTTTCTTCATTTTTTAAAATTTATTTTCAAAAAATCCATTTTAAGGGAGCCCCTCATCATTGGGGGCCCCAGGCCATGGCCTACTGGGTAATCCAGCCTTGGTTGCTATGATAACTGGTGTTCGTAGGGGGCTGCATCCCATAAGGCTCATGCCAAAATCCGTTTTAAATTATTAAATTATGATTAGTTGAAATAAAGATAAAAATAAAGTCAGCAGTTCAGATTATAAATTGTTAATAAAAATACATGTAGCTGTGAATGATTTTTTAAAGTACGGAGTTCCCAAAAGACCGCCCTTAATGTGTATTTTTAGAATCCTGTATCAAGATTCAAATCAAAAACGGATACACATTGGAGAACGCAAATTTTTTTAGCAAGAAAAATCTAAAAATAATATCAAAATCTGACAAAATACAGTAGGAGAAGGTGGATGTACTAAACATCAAAAATCTGTTTGACATCAGATTTCCCCACAGTGATTTGTCAAATACTTTTATTCCCTCCTTTAAATATTAATTTTAGACCTGTAATATCTATGCTTTTGTTTTCATTCTTGATAAAGATTCTAAGACTACATATTTAAGGGTGCTCTTTTCAGAACATTCCAGGTACTTCTAAAGTTTACAATGCTTAG